CAGATGATTATAATTTATTTCAGTCATCAAATATGATTTATAAAATTGATGAAGCAAGTGATAACATAATGGTTAATTTTATATGTCAACTTGACTGGGTCAGTGGATGTTCAGATATTTGTAACACTTTACTCTCAGTATTTCTTCCTGCCTGACTGCCTTCTACCTATGATGTTAGTTTATTTTCCTGCCTTCAGACTCATATTAAAACATCAGCTCTTCTTGGGTCCTGAATTTGCCAGTCCCCAGATTAGAACTATACCATAAAATCTTCTGATTCTCAAGTTTTTTGGACTTAGATGGGAATGACACCATTGGATCTCCTGGGTCTCCAGATTTCCTACTGATCTTGAGAACTGGAGATCTCTGTAATTGTGTGAGATAATTCCTTTCTCCTACTGGTTCTGTTTCTCTGGAGAACCTTACTACAGGTAGTTTACTATGTACCATATGTCCATTCTTTCCATTGTTCTTTCTTCTTTCCTTCTCAAAGCCCCAAGATTCATTCTTCCATCATTTTTTCTAGTTGAAAAGTTTCCTGTAGCCAATATTTAAGGATAAACCTGCTAATGAAAAATTATGCTGCCTAGTACAAGTTCCGTCTCATGTGATGATAGTTATTTAATTTCAGGCAGTTGTGACTTACCTGAGGTGCATCTAGATTTGGGGTGGGTTGAGGAGGGTAGTTATGGGCTTACATGGTGCCAGGACTCAGTCAAGAGTGTTTATGACCTGGCTGTCACTTCTGCATGTGGACATCTGCTGAGGCATTTTTATTTCTGTCTGATATTTAGTCATTAGTTCATGCAGGAACTGTGAGATATTTATTTGCATATCTTTGCAGTGGTACATGGGAAACATTATCCTGACACTGTCCCAGTCCAACAGAAAAGACTACTTCCCTGTGGTTCCCAGGCTCAACCAGCAGCTTCTGCACTTACTAAGCCCACAGGAATTATGAGACTGCCTCAGGTCCTTCAGCCCATCCCTATTAGGGGCCAGGAACACCAGGGTCAAACTGTCTTTATGGACCCTGTGAGAAGAAACACACAACTACTTTGTCCAGAAGCCAAGACCCATCTGTGGTTTCTGTTATTTCCACTTACCCCTTGGAACTGGATGGGGAAAGCATTAGGGATCTTCTACATGCAAACTAAGTTACCTCAACTCACTTTGCCTTTCCATTTGATTCTCTCCTTCACAGCCCAGAGTATTCATAAAACATTTGGCTAGGTAGACAGTGCTGAGAAAAGGATGTTGCTGCTACTTATCATAAGTCACTTTGGTACACTGATTACACACACACACACGTAGCAGACTAGTTTGAGGTACACTCTAAGAATATTTCAGGACTCCATATTTGGGTCTCCTTCCACAAACACTCCCTTCATGGAAGCCTGTTTTCCCCTCCTAAACTCCATCTCTCTCTCTTCCCTTCCATTCAGTGTGGAAGCTGTTTTCCTCTCCTGGATTCCATCTTTTCTTTCTCTCACCCAGTGTGAGAGTTAGCTGTTTCTTTCTCTCTCCTTCTCCTGTTTCTCTCTCCCTCTAAATTAAAAAAAAAAAAAGATATTTCTATTGTTCTAAAGCTCAGATCTAAAGGTTCTAAATACCCTGAATACTAAGTTTGGTAGAGGAACTTCCAGTGGTTAGGGGTAACCCACCTTTTATTCCCAGGAACAAGACTCAATTGTCACCCTGTGGACCCAATTCCCATTCATGTCAACTCTAACACTATAAACCTGACCCAGAAGAGGAGAAGTCACCTCTTAAAATAACATTTTCTTGGAAAGAATATCTACTACATTTTTTTTTCTCTATGGGAGTGAAATGGCTTTTATTTTCTTCCCTGTGTTTGTTTTCTGGGGCCACTGTAAAAAAGTACCACAAACTAAGTGGCTTACACAACAGAAATGTATCATCTTATAGTTCTGGAGGACAGTAGTCAAAAATCAATGTGTTAGTTGGGTTGGTTCCTTCTAAGGGCTGTGAGGGAAGGATCTATTCCAGGACTCTCTCTTTGGCTTGTAGATGGCTGCCTCCCTGTAGTTCTTCTCATATAATCTTCCCTCTGTGTGTGTATCTGTCTCTGTGTCTGAATTTCCCTTTATTTTTTGTAAGGATGTCAGTCATATTGGATTAGAGCCACCCTAATGACTTCATTTTAACTTAATTACCTCTGTAAAGAACCTAGCTCTAAATAAGATCTTATTCTGAGGTAATAGAGACTAGAACTCCAATACATCTTCTTTTTTGGTGGAGAAACACAATTCAACCCATAATATTCACTGAAGCCAAGTGACAGTAAAAAAGGAAGACTGGCATTTTGTTTCTTGTTTAGGTGCCTGCTTTGTCAGTGGGCTTGCCAGCCTCCCCTGTGCTACCTGAGCAGGAAAGAAAAGCCCCCCACGGTCCACTCCACCTGTACCTGCCTGGGCCCCAGCAGTTCCAGGTTTTCAAGAGGAATGTTCATTCTCAGATGGATTCTGTGCCTGACCTCAAGCCCCAGGCATTGATGCATACGAAAAAAGAGGACACAGTCTTACTAGGACTAACCCCAGTGTGGAAGAAAGAGGCACATACAGTCAAGAAATTAAGCCTTTTGCTAATAACTATGAGTAAGCTGGAAGATGTAGCTATCTCACAAGGGACTCTCAATGCCTAAGAAACCACCTAGGGGGATTCCCTTCATCCACAGGGTCTGTTAGGAGCATGTATGACCCACAGAGACAGCCAAAATAGTAAGCATCAATGAAGAACAACAGCATTGCCACCTTGTGGAGTCTATAAGGTAAGGTTAACCTCTACCTTTCCATCCTTCTATGGTTTCCCACCACTAGGCTGAAGAGCAGGCTGAGGCAGGGGCAGGGTAGAAGCTCATGTGCCCAGCCCTCCACTCTAACTTCTAGAGTCCATGTAGACAAATCTTAATTTGGCAATATAATTGTTTTTATAAATGGAACTGAATCTACTAAATCAAAGAATCTTTCTGAATATACAAAAGTGAGAAGTTAAGAATTGAGAGGGTGTTAAGGGAACTGCTACCCAGCAGGAAACACAAATTTGATAGATCAAAACTGAGGAAAGTGACCAAAATAAAAATGAAATGATGTGAGGCTTGAACCTCATTAAGTGGAGACTCTAAATAGTAGATAGTGTACACATGCACACATAATAGCATTAGGTATATTCCACCTGCTGTTCCACTTAGCATTATATCATGGACAATTTCCCCTATTATGAGGTATTCTTCAGAAATATAATTTTTAATGACTGTGATATTTATAGACATTTACATTCTAACAGATGTAATTTAAACCTTTACTCAGGCTATTTGTGCTCTAATTTAGGTATCATTTTGAACCCAACACTAAAATAAATAAATATATATATGTGTGTGTGTGTGTGTGTGTGTGTGTGTATGTGTGTGTGTGTACACGTATATATATACACACACATATACATATATATACTTTTTTTCTTGAGAAAGAGTTTTGCTCTGTTGCCCAGGCTGGAGTGCAGTTGTGCAATCTTGAATCCACCTCCTGGGTTCAAACAATTCTCCTGCCACAGATTCCTGAGTCGCTTGGATTATGAGTGTGTGCCACCATGCCCATCTAATTTTTGTAATTTTAGTAGATACAGGGTTTCACCATGTGGCCCAGGCTGGTCTTGAACTCCTGGCCTCAAGCAATCTGCCTGCCTTGGCCTCCCAAACTACTGGGATTACAGGTGTGAGCCACTGGGCCTGGCTGTAACACTAACTATATTTTTAATATGTAACTATAGGTAAATTAATACACCTTGGAATAATTAACATAATAGAAAATGGAAAAATAATTTTTCTGCCATTATAATTATGTATCTTATATCCTATAAGTTCCTTTACTTTCTTTCACAGCATGTTAAGTATTGACTGAAAAAAACAGTTTAATGAAATTAAACCATTAACTGAGTAAAAAGTAGTTAGGTTTGGCTTGAAATATAAAAATTATTTACAACACACCAATAACCATGTAACGGCAATGAGTGAAATTCCAACAAATGCTTTCTCTGCATCATCTCACTTCAAGCGAGGCCTCATTACAGAGCAAACCCTTGCTAGAGTAGAATTTGGAGCTCTTCCCTCACATTTGGGAGGAGGCTTATCTTGGCCTCCCACCTCAAACCTTGGGAGGAAGCCTGCCTTTTGTAGAAATCGTCACCACAGATAAAGGTAAATATCACATTTTTCTTTAATTCTGTCACAGTGAAGACACTCAATAACCAGCAATGTAGAGGAAGAGGTGCTGCCCAAGGATAAGATAAAGGATTTGAAAGATTATTTAGAATTCAGGGCAGAGGCAAAAATGCAAAAATTCCTGAGCTCTGCCTCTATCCAGCCCACAAGGAAATGGTGAGAGGCAAGTGAAAGCGATGCATGATGGTGCTGGGTTTCAGAGGGAAGCCTCGTTGGTTTTGGCAGTGCCTGTTCCTATTGTTAGAACACCCAGCACACTGCTGGCAACTCTCTAAAAGAATATGACAAGTTTAACATGCAAGATTAATGCTCCTCTCCTGCATCATAGGATGTTATAAATAAAGCTGTAGCTTTTTATATACTATCAAGTGGTATGCCACCCAATAGAAAGCGGATAAAGAAAACCCAAGAAAGCTAATTTTGAGAGGGGAAAAAATGACATCACTGATCCATTTTAAAGCACATTTCAAAATACATTCAGAAGTGTTCACACATTGTGGGGACACAGGAAGTCTCTGGCCCAATATACAAATTGTGTGTGTGTGTGTACACGTGTGTGCCAGTGCATATGTCAGTGGATGTAACAAACATTTGTAGAGGTGACAAACAGCTCATGGGTTTTACCTTTAGGAGAAAGAGTACGTGTTATCAGGGTGGCCCAGTTTTAAGGTAAAAATTAAGTCTTGTTCTAAATCCTTCATTTTCTAGACCAGGACCATTTCTCCCTATAGCACATGGAGCCCAGAACACTGCCTCCTACCTGTGCTGCTGTGGCTGCTGGGGCTGGTCTGCGTTGGCGGTGGGGGCTGCCCATCACTCAGCTGCTTCACTCGTTTGCGGTGGGATTTGCCATTGGAATGCACCTGAGCCTGGGCTGCAGAGTTCAGCTGGATGTTGCACACTTCACAGAAGGAGAACAGAATTTTCTTTTTCTCTTTGCTCAACTGGTCCTCAGGCCTGTCACTCTTTATCCCCTTTTCTTCAAAGCCCCGTAGAAAATTTGCCATATTCATGATTCCATCTTCAAGATGGTTGTCAGGGCTTAAGGAGTACCTCATGCCTGAAAAACAAAACAAGTACAAGTGCTCCTGAAATTATAGATGCCTTCTTATTTTCCAGTATCATTACAATGAATCTTTAATGGTTTCTTTAAGCTAAAAGTTGCCCAGCTACTCAGTGGTTACTCCTAGAAAAAAAAATCATCAAAAGTACCTAAATAAGCAAGTACAGTCTTTGAACATGAGTCCCTTGTGCCTTGGAGTTTTTGAGCAGAAGTTCCTTTTGCCTGGAGCACTTTATACTCCATCCTTTCCCCTCTTCCCATCACCTTCTACCCTCTTTACTCTTTTAACTTCTGCCTGCCCATGAGATCTCAGCTGTCAAATAACCTTCTTCATGAAACCCTTTTTGACCCTGAATACAAGGTAAGATGTGGTTATATGCTCAGATATCGTGTTACGTGATCTATCTTCATGGCAGTTATCAGGGTGTACATTTCTTAGATATTTGTGCAATTACTTGGCTTATGTCTGTCTCCACATTAGAGTATGAGCTCTATGAGGACAGTCACTTCAACTCTGGATATCCCTTAAGCCTACAACCGCACCTTTTACAAAATAGGCATTCAAATTTTATTGAAGGAAGGAATAAATGATGTTATGAATCCAGAATTGTGAAAATGTTCATGTGTATGCACATTTGTATGCACAAATGTGTATACAATCTGCATATACCTGGGCACATACAAACAGATACATGGCTTAACCGAAGGGGAGTTAACAAAGACCAAAACACTGTATGTCTGCAACTTACATTGGGTTGTGTTCTAAAAGTCTCTTTATAAGTCAGCCGACAGGAATTTGGACATATTTTCTTATCCTTGTAGGGAAACAAATTGTTTTTAAGTTTCCAGTTTAGCCCATAAACGTCAATTTAATATTTGATGGAATTGAAATGTAGAACATCTGAAACACAAAATAATATTTTAGTAAACTGCTAATTCAAAAACAGTAAAATAGAATAAGACATGATTTTGCATATTTTAAAGTGTTGATGTTTTCTTCATTTGTTTAGATAAGAGTACAGAGGTAGATTATGAACTAAGGAAAGATTCAAAAGGGATTTTCTGAACCTTGAGACCTTTGATTGATGAAGATTGCCTTGACATTTTATTTTGTCTGGTGCCATTTCATGTAATTTTTCATTTTAGTTAATACCAGGAATATGAGAATTTTCAAAATTATCAGTGGGATTATCACAACATTTTGGTTTACAATTTGAATAAATAAAAAGATGCTTCCCAAAAAGAAAGGGGAGGACAATTTGGCTATAATTTAGAGAAAAGGGTGCATGTGAGAAGGAATGTCTGGGGTGGCAGTGTTGTGCCATAAAAGATGAAGAGTTTATATGAAGGAAGGATTATGGCTTGTAAGGGACTTCTGCTTATAGAACAGACTCAGGGGATGCAAGGTATTGGCTTTCAACAGTTATTTTGATCCAAGTTGGCTCAGAGCTCTAAGGAAAGGCGCTACTAGAGACACGTCCATATTTGGAGTGTTCACAAGCGGGATGTTTAAAATTCAGAAAAGGTTTGACCATAAAACCAGATATTCATTCTAATGTATACTAGGCCCCCAAAGACTCCTTGTTTATATCCATGCATCCAATTGTGAAGGTTGTTTAGACATTATTAATTATGATTGTCCCTTTCAATACTTTAACCTGATGATGCCATTTTAAGGGACTCTCTTACACAAATTTTCCAAGTCAATCTATTCCTTTTAGCTCCTGCATTAACATCTGCTCAAACTATGCAGAAACAAGGTTTAAGCAGTTCCTGTAGCTAAGCTACAGAAAATAATTCAGTCATAATTGAAATGGGATTTGAACTGCACATAAATATGTTTGTTTTTATTCCTTAAACCTAAGATATTATGTTATCACAAAGCCACTTTTCTCATAAAACTTAAGGAAATATCAGTGCCATGTTAGTTATGTTCAAATATCTATATCTTCTCTTAAAATATTAAAACATAAGAATTGGTTGAAATAAGTAAATGAATTTTAAAATGAGCTCATTACTAACAGTTTGTCCTTTCTAGAAAACTAATCCACTGTGAAATGTAAGAAAAGCCAATAACGTTTAACCTTGCAGAATGAGGCCAGGCACCATCGTACTCAATCATTGAAACCCAAGTTTATATTTCAACTCAAGTAAGCAAGATCCTTGACCCAGCTGAGAACTGTTACACTTTCATCTGAAAATTTAACCTTTGGAGGTACCCAGGCTTGTCCATATTGCAAATTAACACATAGTATTTCAGACACAAGACATACATCATAATGTTCCTGTGACTTTTTTGTTTGCATTATCTTATAAAAAAGCAATGTTACCTGTGTTTTTGTGATTGCCATTTTTCCTGGAAATTATTCTACTTTTGATTTATTTAAATATACATATTTTAAGTAGTAAGAAAGAAATCTTTCATATAAAATAAATGGCTCTTCTAGAATTCTGTAACCTCTTCGGAGTACCAGTATCAACCCTACTTTATCTTCTCCAAGGGTTACTCTCACAAGTGATTGCCCAAACCTCCAACACCACATTCATGGGCCACTCTAGAAAAGATCAAATGCCTGGGGGTGGGGCATGTACTCTGCTCACCAAATCCCAATTTATTAGTCGTAGTTCTGGCTTCACACTTTCCTCCCTCTCAGGGAAAAACAAGGTCAGCTTCTGTTAACAGCCACTTGCAACCAAAGTATATTTAGCTGCAGAGGTCTTAGGAAAAGGACCTAGAGGTGGCAGAGAGGCAAGATATCAGAGTGTCGGCATCCACTTTTGGCCTGAGATGATAAAATTTCTAGGCTTATAATACGTGTGAATGTGACAACATTTATAATGTCAGCTTTCTCACTAAGGGAAAAGTAGCATTGAGTTTAAATGTAAGAAGAGAGAAAATCTCACTGTCTATTTTAAAATTTTTCATCAGACTATCTTAATTACATGTTTCACTTGCATGGGAGAGAAGGACCTTCGGGGGTTCTGATTTTAAACAGAGCAGTGGGCAGCGCTGTACTTTGGATTGCCAGGAATCAGTGTAAGAATAGTCAGGACAACTGAACCAAACATTCTATGCTTTCATTTTTGTATTATTTTACAAAATTAGATGACCAACAACTTAACATTCATAAGAGAATAAGATATTTTAGTACAGGTGAAAGAATAAGAAAAGGTTGGTCCTTGTGTCTTTTTTAGAGAAAAGAGCTTTGAATTCAAATTGGACAATCAGGGAATATCCTAAGGAGTGAATTTAAATCACCAGGAAGCGATCCATCAGGAAACTTCCAGTATTACAACATTCCCTAGGACTGGCCCTGACCTGCATTGCTATCCAATTGTTTTCTTTTCTTTTTTTTTGTTGAATTCATCATAATTTACTTATTTTTTATTGTACTTTAGGTTCTGGGGTACATGTGCAGATCATATGGGATTGTTGCAGAGGTACACACATGGCAATGTGGTTTGCTGCCTCCATCCCCCGTCATCTACATCTGGCATTTCTCACCATGTTATCCAATTGTTTTCTATAATAATTTTTTTAAAAAAAGACAGGAAACTGATCTGGAGGTAAAGACATCTCTGTTGCACATGTACAGCAATACATTATTTGACTCAGAGTGGTCGTATCAGATGGAGAATAAGTTAAGAGACTGCCTTCCTTTTATGTAAGTGTGAAAAGGCTCATTCCTCAACTCAAGTCAATCAGTTTTATCCACTTCCTGTTCATTCCTTAACCCCTAACAACTTGGCTTGAAACTCCCTTCCACAGTAGTGCTTGTCTTTGCAAATTGACTATCAACACTGCTAATTGCCAAATCCAAGATGGCTGTTTCCTTGCTTACCACTTTTCCTGATGTCCTCATGATGCTCCCTCGCCAGGGTCTCTTCCCACCTCTGTACTCCTGAGGCGTTGTGTTCATAAAGTTAGCACAACACACAATTCTTATATTACTAGTTTAATTATTTATATAGTTTATGGCATGTATGTTTTACTTATTCAGTCACTCATTTCAGGATATTGATATATACTAGGTAGGCAGAGGGCAGGATACCAGGGAGAAAACAGTGAGCAAGGTCAAGGAGATGTCTGAGGGGACCCAACAATCCAATGAGAAATACAGAGGAGAAAACAAGAAGTTACAACAAAGTACAATCAACACTTTGAAAAGATCCACATTTTCCTGCCAAGCTCCTTGAGTATAAAAACTATGTTTTGGCTGGGCGCGGTGGCTCAAGCCTGTAATCCCAGCACTTTGGGAGGCCGAGGTGGGTGGATCACGAGGTCAAGAGATCGAGACAATCCTGGTCAACATGGTGAAACCCCGTCTCTACTAAAAATACAAAAAATTAGCTGGGCATGGTGGCGTGTGCCTGTAATCCCAGCTACTCAGGAGGCTGAGGCAGGAGAATTGCCTGAACCCAGGAGGCAGAGGTTGTGGTGAGCCGAGATTGCGCCATTGCACTCCAGCCTGGGTAACAAGAGCGAAACGCCATCTCAAAAAAACAAACAAAAAAAACTATGTTTTATTCATCTTTGTATCCTCAGCATCTAAGATGATGTTTTGTATAAAATAGGCACTTAACAAATATTGGCTGACTGAACGCACTGTATTTGTGTGGGAGGGTGTGAGGTTAGCAGAGTGGCAGACAAGTGTGATATGTGTGCATATGTGTTTTATGTTTGTGGTCTGTGGTATATGTGATGTGTATTGTGTGTGTGGTATGTGTGGGAGTGTATAGGTGTGGAGTATGTGTGTGTGATATGTGTGTGGATTGTGTATGGTATATGTGGGTGTGTGATGTGTATGTGTGTGGTGTGCATGTGGTATGTAGTATATGTGGCATTTGTGTGGGATGTATGGGGAGTTCAGGGGGTATGTGGGTATGGTGGAGGCAGTGCATGTGGTATATGTGCCGCGTGTAGTATGGGTGTCGGGTGTATGTGTGTGCAGCACTGGTTGTGAACACAGTAACCAAGGTCAATGTTTTCTAATTATTTTAGCTTGTATGTGGGCTAAGCAGACAGCTGTTTGGATTTGGAGATTAGGAATGGTAATAACAGTGTGCTCCCCAAGGAAAAAGTACAATCACTCATCTGTAAACTAACTGTTTAGGACAAAGTCTTTCATCCTGTAATTAAAGTTCAAATTCTGAGAAAACATGGGTATATTATGTCAGCATCCATGTGACAATAGCTCTTTCCTGCAACCACCTTTCTCAGGCACCGGAACACTGGGCACCATGGGAAAGTTTGGGCAATACTTTGTAAAGATTAAAACACAAAGATGGAGAAGATAGGCGCTCTGGCATTGATTTTTACCCATTTATGTTGAAAATGGCTGGTACTGCCTCCTGAACTTCTACTGAAAAGGGAGGCAAAAAGTTGAGTTCTGAGTACCAGATTACAAACAATTCCTTTCCCCAAAATAGAGTTTTGGAGAAAATTAAGAGGTCAGTAGAGAATGTTCATTTCATTGAATGTTTCAGTATTTATTTCATAGTAGGATTCAGATATCAGAGGCTACATTTGATCGAATTCAACTAGACAATCATTTATTAAACACTGATTATAGGCAATATGCTAAACTCAGCCCTATGGTGGCTAAAGAAATGTATATAATTAAGAAACTTAAAAAGCTTATAATAAACTAGAAGAGGAAATCATTCTGCTTCTCATTGTTTAGGAGAGTGACTAAGGAGAACTCTTTGTATAACAGTCCCCAAAATACTTTGAACTTATTGCATTGAAATGAAATTATTGCTTAGCAATTGATTTCACTAGACAGTTCATCTGTCTCAATTTTTTCCCCAAGTACTTATTGGCACTTGGTTGAGTGCTAGTGAAATAGACTTTAATGGGATGCTGTGGTCTAGTGTGAATCCCAAGAAATTGGGATTATT